AAAGATTCCCTTCCTCTGCCGTGCACCAATAGCTTAGGGATAGAATCTCCGACTGATGGCAAATCGGTCAAGTTTCAATCCCAGCTTGAAGCAACTGGATGTCTAGCCACACTGATGAACTGTGATACAGCAAAACAGGCACGTCTCAACAACAACAAAAAATTTTAATTGTGAATTTTAAGTGTTAAGTGAATTTTATTTTTTTTTTTTTAATGTATTTTAATTGAAACCCTTGTTTGATTCATACATGAGTTAAATTCAAAGTCAAGAAATTCAGTGTCTCTAAAAAAAATGCTTAGAAAGAAAATTCAATGATGGTGAATCTCGGTAAAACTTTATTTAACATGCAGAAGGAAAATATTTTTAAAACTAAAAGGTTATGTTAAAAAGGTAGAGCTGAAGAGATCAATAAATTGACAACATTTGTGACAATAAAGCAACTGTTGTCGTTTGGTAAATGAAAAATTAACAAAGGAATAATAATCATATGTATGATTAGAATTGTGGTTGATTCTGCACAAGACTTCACCATTATAATCAGATGTGTGGGTGTAGTCTGGCTGTTGGTTCTAACAACTGAGTTGCTCAATATATCAAAAAATGACAGGAGAGTTCAGTTTATAGTGATAAAGTTTGTATAATGCTCTTAATTATGGTTAATAATGCTATAAGAAAAATACTGTAATAAAAAGTTGAGTGAAAAACAGGTTTAATCGCATGAGAGACGAGGATTAATAATACAGTAATAGAGAATAGATGTAGTTCAGTACAGCAATGTGTGCAACACAAATGCTACACCATGTAACCCACTTTGCGACGACTGTTCCTATGGGTAAACGTTCTACACACAGCAGATGGATGAAACCGTGTTCAAGAATTAATGTAGTAAAAGCCAGTTACCTTTCTACACAAATATATATATATATATATATATATATATATATATATATATATGTATATATTGTTAAATATGACAGACAATGAATGTCTGATCATGAGCTGTTCTAAATTTTGTATGTTTGTATTAATTTTGGGTGAAAATAAAGACAAAAATTCTCCAACTTTTGGATATTTTTTCATTAAGTTTTATTAAGTTGGTTCTTGATTTAAGCTTTTTGGCTCACATGAACCATCTTCAGAGAGGTTATACAGACATTTTAACAAAGATATTCACCATCAAATATTATATTTTATTATATTGACATAGAAGATTGCTATGCAATGATAACAGTACATATGTCAAAGTTCGTAGAACTCTTGTAGTTCTTGTTAATAATATTACAAGGAAAAAACTGGAACAAAAGGTTGAGTGAAGAACCGGTTTAATCACATGAGAGACATGAATTAATAATACAGTTATAGAGAATACCTTAGTTCAAAATCAGAGAAAGCAATGGGAGAAACCATTCCATCCTTTTGAAAGAATTCATGGCAATTCACAAATAATGAAGAAAATGAATCTGTAGAAATCTATGATTTCCTATATACTTAAAGGGTAGGCATCTTGACGTGGTGTAATGGTTAGCAAGCTTGTCTTGCTGGAACCATTAAAACTGAGTAGCAAGTTCAATCCTCACCGGGTGCCCCATGCTTTCAGCCTTGTGCCACATCTCAGCTGCACTTAGAAAATCATTTTTTGGGCACCTCGAGGGGGTGTAATGGTTAGCAAGCTTGTCTCACTAAAACAATTACAACTGAGTAGGGAGTTCGATCCTCACGGGGTACCCCATACATTCGGCCTTGCGTCACATTTAAACTACGCTTAGAAAATCAATAGGGGCACATCGAGGCGGTGTAATGGTTAACAAGCTTGTCTTGCAAGAACAATTATGGCTGAGTAGTGAGTTCAATCCTCACTGGGTACCTAATACTTGTGCCACATCTAAGCTACACATGGAAAAAAATCACTATACTGAAAGAGCATGGCATTTTTTTAAAAAATGTTTTTAAAACAAAAGTAAATTTATATTTGCATATATAATGAACACTATTAAAATGCATTTGCAGCAGTAATCCAAACAAAATACTAATTAAATAATGAGTCAGGAATAGTTTGGGGGCTAAAAGATTATTACTACTAACCCACAGTGACCTATCAGTGTTATAGTCACACCAGGTTTTGTCAATTCAATTTTAAGTATCCTATCTTAAGTATATGGTTAAGATAATACAAATTAAGGATGAAAGAAATTATAGCTAAGCATTTAACAATACAATAAAATTGGTTTAAGATGCTTAAAACAGATTAACAGGGTAACTGGCAGTTTGCTTCACAGCACTAATATATCTGGCATTTTTTTTTAAATAATTGTTTCTATACAAATATGAAGGTATGTAAATTTTTTTTTTTTTTTTACAATGATGTTCACTCTGTACAAGGCCAAAGAGCCACTCAACAGAGGGTTATAGAGTAAGAGACACCACCCCAAGCAAAGTGATAATGCCACCAAGATGCAAGGAGCCAGCAGAAGTGTAAGAGAAGGAAAAGACTTTAGAGGGAATCAGAAAACCAATCCTAAACAGGAAACAAGGGATAAACCTCTACTCCTGTTCAAAAGATTGGGGAGGAGTGTGAACAATAACATTTAGAGAGGAAAAAAAATCCAATCTAAGAACCATGATACTTTAGTCCTTTTTAAAATATTTTCCTTTAGGATTTACCCCAGCATCCTCCCCACTGCAAAGATTGCTTTCAGGATTGCCATCCACTGTTTTGTGTTATTACCATCCAGTGTTAACTTAGGAAAAAGCTAAAATTTGTAGGAATCCAAATCTGAAGTCTCTGAAAGCTGACAGCTCAAAATGGAGTGAGGTTTTGCCAAAAGAAAATCTACATAAGATGTATAGAATCTGTTGCTCATTATGAACACAATGGCAACACAGTCCAATAATAATAATGAGACACAGGAGAGTTTGTTCACACATGTGCAGTAAAACACTCTTTGGATGGTTACCATATTGCATTAAGATGGTGCAATCAGTTCTTAAGATATTTAAAATAGCTCAATGCATTCTAGACAGGCTTTGTATATCAAACATCTATGTAGATGACACGATACTGATAGCAGACACAGAAAAGAAATTACAAAACCTCCTACAGAAGGCAGCAAAGGAGAGAAAGAAGAAAGGACTAAGCATAAACTACAAAAAGACAGAATGCATGGTCATCAGTAAAAAGATGAGCTGAAAATGCAATTTACAGGTCGGGGACACGAAAATCAAGCAGGTGCAGAAATTTAAATATCTGGGAAGTGTTTTGACAGAGAACAGTAAGTGTGACACTGAGATCCAAAGACATACTGCAATGACTAAAGACACATTCCAAAAGCTAGGTAGAAGGATTTCTTTGGTGACAAAGAAAAGAGTACCGAGCTACTACGTGACATCTGCCCTCCTTTACGGCAGCAAATGTTGGACAGTCTCCTCAAAAATGAAGAGACTCAAGGCAATGGAGGCATAGTTCTATAGAAGGATGCTAAGGACATGATGGACCAAGCGTGTGAGCAACGATGAGGTTTTAGAGAGGATGCAAACAAGGAGGAAGCTTATATAAGAAGAGGCAGCTGAAATTTCTGGGACATATGAGAAAGGAGGGCTTGTAGAATCTGATACTCACAGGGCGAACAGAAGGAAAGCGAGACAAGGGAAAGCAATGCATGACATACATTGCGGGCTCAAGCAAGTGGATGATGGAACACAGCCTGGAGGAAGTAGCAAAGGGACAAAACTTATTGAGAGTTACAAGGGATAGGAGGAAGTGGAGAGCCATGATTGCCTACGTCCTGAAGGGACACGGCCCATAAAAAGAAAGATATCAAACATCATGTGTAAAATATCACAACTCTAGACATATTGGAAAGGGGAGGGGGTAAATAAAACACATGGTCATATTTTGAAGCCAAAAAACATTTAAATCCAGTAAATGGAGATTAAGATTTCAGCTTTAACATTGCCAATTGATTTTGCTACTTCTCTATAAAATCCCACACAATAGAGAAAACAATTTTCATGATTAAAAGTTGTTGCAGCATATCTATGGATGATAATGGGCATGCCCCTATTCCCATAAATACAGTAGTGAATATTGTATGTGTTAGTCTGCTGTCTGCAGTTAGAGATTCATTGTAGAATTCACTTGACTTCTAGCAGATGACTACTACTTCTACACACCGCTGGCAAATCTTATATGTGTTGTTCTTGTGCTAAGTATTATCATTCATTACCAACCTTTGTGTGATTATTCTATTCAATAACCTTCCCTAGGTTACAACAAAAGTAGAGTTTCCAACAAGGAGGAAATTCCTGGAGTGAATGCAAGGTGAACAGATTTTGTCAGTAAAAGCCTTAACAGAATTATATCGAAAATTTTGATTAACTAACTTAAGCAAACAGAAAACTCAATGGATTAGCAAAATCTGCATTCCAAAAACTAAACAAATTACTAAGGAACAAAAAAAAATTTTCAATAAAAACAAAGGGAAAAAAAAAAAAAAAAAAAAAAAAAAAAAAAAAGAGTGCTAGATTGCTATGTGATATCCATCCTTAGCTATAAGATTAGATAATAACAATTCCATGGACAGAGCAGGTAAGTAACAAGGAAGTCTTTAAAATGGCAACAACTAAGAATCAGAAAGAGATAGTTGAAATTTCTTTGACACATAAGAAAAGGGGGCTTGGCAAATTTAACCTTCACAGGGTGTATTGAGGGTGGAAGAGAAAGGGGAATATAACAAGCAACCTACTTGCTGATTCTGTTTGAATGGATAAGAGAACAAGAGGCTTGGTACAAGGGAGAAACACTCTTAAGCACCACAAAGAAGAGGAAGTTGTGGAGAGCCATATCACATATATCCTGAAGGGACATGGTACATAGAACTCAAGAAAGCTTTACTTGAACTGTTTATATTGAAAATATTTAACAATTAAAAAAAAAGAAAAAAATTTTTTTTAATTTTGGCACCAAGAAAAGACAAACAAAAATCAAGTGCAAAGTTTCAAACCTGGTTTTGGTGCTTTCTTTGGACGTTTTTTAAGATCTTTCTCAAATCGGTCTTCATGATATTTCCAACGCCGCACTTGTTCCTAAATTAGAAAAATAAAAACAGGTTTTATTTTTAAAATATTGCAAAATTTACTCTAAGTTTCTAAAATAAAGATTTGAACTAGTATCCTCATCTTTGTGGCTTTAATTTGTACATTTGTCTTGAAAAAAAAGAAAAAAACATGTCAACCAGTGTAATCAAAAGGTGGTCAAACGTTTACATTCTAGTCATCAATTTAACCATACACAACTACAGTAAAAATCTTGTACACCCATTAATTCTTGTAAAAATATTTATACTGGTGTAATGGAATAACCTGTTACCCCCATGAGTGACTACACTATAGGTAGTAACTGCCTATAAGTATCTGTAAGCCAACAGACTACAGAGTCTAGCTGGAATCTTTTCCAGCTGTGCTGGTCAAACTCTCTGCCTCTGGGCAGAGAGGATTCCCAGATGAGGCTATGCCGAAGGACAGATTCTCGTCTCGAAAACAGCTACCCAACCCTGATTTATATGAGTTCTATGAGGAATTTTTGGCCGAGTCTATGGGCTCGGATACACCACATTAAATTCAGCCCTGTACCACATCTGATCACATGGGGAGGTTAGTAAATATACTAGCTGGGATCTGTTGAGTATGACCTTGTGCATAACTGTATTTTTATTCTTATTGTACTGGTTTTTATAATAAACCTTTACTTATTTTACCCATTGTGTTTCTCAAGTATATATTCCTATTAGCACGGAATATAACATATACAATTTTATTTAACTTTTTTATATAATTATTAAATATAAAAACAAATTGATCATTATTTAATTTAATAATTTTGAGACTTTTTTTTATTTCAAACTTAAATGTTTGAAGTTAAATTAGTTACTGAGAATAGTAGAGAATTCTTTAAATTTTGATCAATCATAATTTTGATTTTAATCAGTTTCATGGCTGATAATGCAAGTTTATATCTGTATGTATTTCTAAAATGTTCACAGTGCCAGAAACTAATGTCATAAGCATTTTGGACTGCAAGAAGCTAACTAAATTTCATTTTCCATAATGAATTTGTTCTCAATAAATTCCTTCTGTTTGTTAGGCATATTCACAAATTTTTCTATTCTACGTGAAAATGGGTTTACAAATATAAGTATTCAGTTTTCCCCCCACCATTTTTCCAATTGTTCACTGAATTTGTGTTTACTGTCATTTTCTACTTTTCTCTTGTTCATTTTCTTTTGTATCATGTGATAGAAAATGCAGTTTTCAAAAATTAAAAAAAACAGAATTCTCAAAGAATAAATAAAGTACAACTTTTTAGAATACAAATGTCTATTGAAAACTGATTAGCAAAAATCATTTGGATGTAATGCTTTTTATCAAATCAGGCAATGCAATGCTTTCAATGTGTTCATTCACCAGCTCTGACTACATATACCTACTATACATACATAATGTATACAAGGATATATAAATACATTCACACAGTACATGCATACATAATACATAAAAAAAAAAAAAAAATTAAAAAAAAAGAAAATTTGTAGGATGGTAAAAGAAAGATAATATTGTAGCCAAAGATTACCAATGTGAAACATCTATGGAAAGTTGGAGAGCAAAATGGTTGAAACAAAGACAAAGGAATGTAGTCATCTAAGCTATACATTTAAAAAAAGTTATAATGAACAACATTCATTATAACAATGTTTTTTTTAGACATTAATCATTCCCCTTCATTGGCAGTTTTTTTTTCTTAATGAGATATAAATATTTATAGTTATATCTCATTAAAAAAAAAAAAAACTGCCAATGAAGGGGAATGACTTAGAGCAAATTTCTGTCATCTGAAGAATCAGACATTAACATTAGAAATTGAAACTTCCTCAATGAAAACAGTTTTTTTTTTTTTTGTTTGATGGCATATCTGCAAAGTACCAACAACCTTAAAATTACAAAAGCCAAACTGAAAAAAATATTGAAAGTTTGATAATACTGAGCAGAAATTAATTTAGCAATAAGGACTTTTATCCGATACCAAAAACTAACTAGTTACAAAAGTGGTAAGCATGAACTACAATGTTTACTAGCTAAGAAATTATTGATAAAGTTAAGAAATGATACCCGAGTCCACATTAAAATCATTAATTGAGCTCTGCAATATTGTTTCATGGTACAAAATAACAAGAAAAATTTCATAAATCTTTTGATATCAATAAAAGATAATTTAACATTAAAAAATAACAGTTGGATGATATGCGATTATTTGATGAAATTATTAAAAAAAATTAAATAAAAAATCTCAGTTACCAGATATTTTGAATAAAAAGATTGATAAAAAAATGTAATAAAAAAGTATTTTCTTAGCTAAAACAATCTATAAAATAAAGTCATTTAAATAAGATTATGGAATCACTAGACATCAACATAGATTTAAATTAGATAAATTTCATCCATTCACTTGCAAATTTTTATAGCATTCAAATAAATGAGTGTTGCCAGGTTTAACATTTCCAACAATTTTTACAAACCACATACATCGATTTATCTCTCTTACGATTAATAAGTTTATATTCAATGTGATTCATTAAGCACTCTCTTTATGATATGAAATATCACGCAATTGAAAAATGATAAAAGAACATTTAAAATCAGATACAATTTCAAATATCTTTCCATAAGTAAAAACTGAAAATTCAACATTGAACCAATAATTCTCAAAATTTGAAAAGCAAAAATAAACAGGATTTTTTCCAAATATTTTTTTGCATCAGATCATAATCTGATTTTTCAAATTTTGGCTATGCCTCATCCAAGAAAATTATCATTATTGGCCAATCATCAATAAATTGACTTTTCCTCAAGTAAGAGACGAAAATTGAATCTAACTGATACTTATCTTTGAAGTGGCAACATACAAAAAGGCAGTTAAATGGTTTGACAAAAGACAACTTAACACATGGCATCACAGAGTGATATTTGCAGGAATCTAATTCAGATGGTAGAGTCGTAGTTGTAACTACACAAAAAAGTATAAGGTACAATTTATTTTTTCACCATGTTATATGCGAGTCTATCAAAAGTAATACAGCTGATATTTCAACATTTAAATTGATATTTTTCATATTCAAAGGCTGGCTTGTAATGCATCTTGTTGAAGTAGGTTAGTATGTCTGATACAAGGGAGATAAATCAGTGAATCATTTGAAACACGAAAATGGATTATATCTTAAATACCTGTAATTTATTTACTTATTTATTCTTGTTGATTTGGTTTGTGTTGTTTTACGGCATATCAACCTCAATGGGTTTAATGCTGACAAGATTTTTAGAACAGGTTTGTATGAATAGAATATGTATTCTTTGTAAGAAATCAGTTTGAATTGGTTTATTTTGCATATCAACCTCAATGGTTTATTTAATGCCGACAAGATTTTTATTGCCAGTAATATTTTTTTTTCAAAAATGTACTGCTGGTAATAATTTTTCAAAAAAAGTATTGCTGGTATTGTAGTGCCTACTACTATGCCTACATTTTTCTCAACTGTGATTGGTTAAATAATAAATACCGTTTACCACAGGACAATTTACTGATCGCAGTCACCACACTGAATTTTTCCTGCTGTGAATTTCACAAACATTTTTTTTTATAAAAAAAATCACCGATTGGTTAATTTCTCATCCAATCATATATTTTCTGTGTTCATTCAAATTTCTCCCACCTTTGTTCCTGGATCCTACCAGTAGTTATAAAAGCAACGTTTTATTCCAAAAATAGTAAAATTCAGCAACTCACACGCATCTACACAGACTATTGATTCTACTCACTGCGGACAGACACAGAACTTGAATTACATTTCACCATCAGTTCTCTGTGAACAAGCCAACTTACCAAACAACACTGTTAGTTAAACAAATAACACACAACTGAATTAACTGTATGTTCTTCTGAATGCAACATTTTATTTCAACATAGAACTTTGAACATTCTATTCAAGAAACATCTTTAATTACATTTTATCTTATTCAAGCTAACAGATAAAGGGAAACTACTTTCTTTTCCTTAATATTCACACATTACAAAAATTGTTTTGTCTTTGTTGATTTTAATATATATTCTATCGTTGAAACAAATCGGTTTTTCATTGTTTTTCCTTGATTCAATAATGTATAAATGTTAAATGCTCTTCAACATGCAGCCACATTAATCTTTTCAACATAAGCAGCATTTACAGTATTTATACCTATTTTCATACTTCCATAGATTTTGACCCCCTTTTTGAGGTTAACTATTTGCCTATAGCTGGAACCCTGACAGGTGCTACCACCCTGGGCCAAGGTGGACCTGGGAACACCAGCAGTAAAGAGATGGTTCCATACTCCTCAAAACCTTCTGATCAAAGGCCTTGCTTTCAGATGTAGTTTATCGTCTTACCCAGGACGTGGATGTAGTTTGTAGTCACACCCAGGAGCTTGGGTTATTTAAAGGATTTTGACCTTTTAGGGCCCAGATATGGTTGCAAAATTTGATGAAAATCAGTATAAATTGATAAATCTTATATTTTAACATGATACTGTTATTTATATGCAAACTATTATCTTCATCTTTGTTATTACAACAATTGTCTGCAAAATTCCTCATCCCAGAAATTCAGGTGGAAATTTGTGTAAGAATATTTTTCCATGTTTATTATCAATATAAATAATCTAAATCTGGTATTTTAAAAAAAAAATGTCTTAAAATACGTGCCACTAGTGGAACAATGGACACTGAAAAGGTTAAATTACTAGTTGATAGGATAGTGACACAATTCTGCAGAACTTGTCCAGTATATTGTTCCTTAAAGTTCAAAGCCAAGAACAGATGTGATCAACTAGAAAGACACAGTATCAATGTTGAATCTACTTTTCCGGCTATAGCCATTTTAGCAAGATCCAAAAGCAATACTGAAATTGCCAGGAGTATAAGTTTTTACCGAGTTTCCCAATACCATTCTTTAACTAACTTCATGGATCTGGATACAGATGTCAACCATATGGCCAATTTGATAACTATACATCTAAGAGCTATTAAATTTTGATCGACTTGTTATCTGCACTTAGATATGTTTTCTTTAGTTTTTTTTGTCATGCCCTCCCTGCTGAGGGTGGTGGTAATGAAGCGAATATAAATACTCCAGGTTTTCAGAAAGAAACTTTTTTTTTTTTTTTTAATAAGGCGTCCGTTTCTTTGGTGTTATGTGTAAAAAAAAAAAAAAAAAAAAAAAAAAAAAAATCTATGCGGAACAAGGGAAATAACTCTTATAATGAGAATTATCTCCCTTGTATTTTAAATTGTTTTTTAAATTTCATACAACATAATTTTAAGATACCAACAACTAGTCAGTTGGGTTTTTCTTTCGGCTTTAAACGAAGGGGGGGTCGCCTAAATTAATACAACTCTTAATTAATAATTAATAATGACGCATCAATTACATCTAGTGGCTGAAGTTGTCTCATAATGAAGGTGTAAGAAATCCACAAAATAAGATTAAATTGGAGATGCAAAATATCCACAAATTGAAAACCATCTAAAAAAAATGGAAAATACTTGAAAAAAATTATAATTAAAATTAGACAGATTTGTTTTTAATGAGAACACTCCTTATTTATGTCTTATTTTATTCTGATAGAAAATGACATGAATATTTTTTTAAATATCAAGTAATTTTTTTAATATTTGAAGTGTTAAAGAGATCGTTCTACAAATTATTCAAATTAGAATTGTCATTATTTACTCTATATGTGGACTGTTGCTCTTATTATAGTTATCCCAACGTTTCAGCCATTGTGCTTTTTGTCCTTTATCAGGTGTTTGTCAGTCCAGGAAACCTACAGGAAATTCGAAACTAAACCTTTTGTCTAATTTACAGAGCTAGACAGGCAGTGTACACTTGGACACACAGTGGAAACAGGTTGAGCAATTATCGAACCGTACTAAAAATAAGAACTAGACAAGATTTCTCTAGACATGGGCAGTGGAACAAGAATGGTCCCTCTCTGTAGATTAAATAAATTATTCAATTCAGAATTCCCTGTAGGTTACCTAGATCAGCCTACACCTGATGAAGGCCAGAAGACACAGCAGCCGAAACATTATAACAACAACAAATAGTCCACACATAAATAGAATACATAATAATTCAATTCATTGAAAAGAAAAATCCTAATATAGGATATTTAAGGCATCCCAATAAATTTACTTAAGGACTTGGTGGTTTATATAATAATATTTTTGTTACTCATAGGTGTTCAAGCTCAGATTAGAAAACAAAATCTCAAATGCTGATTTTCAAGGAAAACTGACACTCGCCACTTGGAAGATTATATTGTACCAATCTTTCAACCTAGATTTTTCCTGGAATCATATAAAGCTAAGTTTAGTGAAAGTACAATGATATTCTTAGATACCAAGGTATCTGATGACACGCTTTGGTGGATACTGTAGAGATGAATTCACTAGTATACTTAGGGAGTCCTTGAGGATCACATGGCAACTGATGAGTGATGATAAACAGTTGTTGGTTAGTTCCTGACAGAAATAAAGGTGGTAAGCATATCCTGCTTAGACATTGTGGGATGACAGATGTGGTAGCTAGCTACAGTTAAGTAAATGTGTAAAAAAAATTAACATGAAGAAGAACATAAAATATATCACCCAGGCTAGCCATGTACCTTCTAGGAACATTACAAGACCTTTATATCTGTCCTTTCACATACAGCTTGATTTTTTTCATTTGCTATAATTTTTGTGCAGGACAAATTGCAATTATATATACTGTATATACTTGTGTATAAACTGATTTCTCAGAAAATTTTTTTTGCATAAATTTTAGCCCCCACCAAAAAAGAAAAAAAAAACAAAATTTACCTGTGTATAGTGCTACCAATCACTGAAAATGTATGGTTTTAACCTCTTCAAAAAATTTATCTGTGTATAATTCAACCCCCTATTTTTTTCATAAAAAACTGATTATAAAAACTATTACTATACTCGAGTATATATAAACATTTTGTATGACATATTTGTAAATTCTAGTAGTATATAGAAAATGTTTTCAGGCACAATGTGAAGGTGTTAGTATATCAGATATACTAATGTCTAATATGGGCATTGTAGAGTGAAAAAAAAAAAAAAAAAACACTTCTCTCTTTCCAAGCTCCCCTCCTTAATATCAGAGAGTATCCAGTGATACTCCTTACATACTTTTTCTTTTTCAATTTAATAGTCCTAAGTACAAAGCTGTACAAAAGTAAGTGAACCTCCGAATATTAAAAAAAAAATAACTTTTTTTTCCCCCTAGATAATCAACAAATCTTAATTATATATTCATTAAGAAAAACCTTAATTAAATGAATTACAACCACATTCAAAGATTTTTACCAAGCTGAAATAAAAATATCAAAAATTAAGAGTAAGTGAACCCTTACATTTAATATTTGGGGACTCCACTTTTTGAGGTCACAACGTCGACCAGTCTTTTTCTTTAATTTTTTTAAGTTTCTGGCTGTAGTGAACAATAAATTTTGACCATTCTTGGCAAAACTCCTACAATTGCTTAATATTACCTGGGTTTCTTGCATGTACTGCCTTCTTTAACTTGAACCACAGATTTTCAATTTGATTTAGACCAGGACTTTCAATAGGCTATTCCAAGACTTGAACCCTTTCTTTTGCGGATTTGATTTGATGAATTGGATCATTGTACTGTTGGAATATTCAACACTGACCGAAACCAAACTTTCAAATCAAGGACAAGACACTTTCATTCAAAATTGTTTGATATCTTGCAGAGTCCATTGTGCCATCAATGTGTACTATTTTGCCTGTTCCAGCTGCAGCAAAGCACTCCTAAATCATAATGCTGCTGCTGCTGCCGCCATGTTTAACTGTTAGCACCAAATTCTTCTTTTCAAAAGACGTATTAGGAGCTCGCTAGACATACCACCTATCGTTCCTCCCCAAAAGTTCTTGTTTGGTCTCATCCAACCATGAAACCTTTTATTAGAACATTTCTAGCTTATTAATATGAGCTTTGGCATTGTTGAGCCAGTCTTGCTTATGATTTTTCATAAGCAGTGGCTTTTTTCTAGACAATCTGCCATGAAGACTGGCATTGTTCAGATTTTGTCGCACTGTAAACGTACTTTGACATTGGTCTTAGAGAAGTGCAGTGGTCACAGTAGGATTCATCTGGGCTTGCTGAACTAGATGTCTACTTGCTCTTGCAGTTATTTTTTGTGGACAGCCACTTCTTGATTGCAATACTGTCATATAAAAGGCCTTTCATTTATAAATAATGACACAGGGTGGAGATGTGCTTTTCAAATCGTTTTGATAGCTTTTTGTAGCTTTTTCTATCATTATAGACTTCAAAGCTTCAGGAAGTTCTTTTGATCTTGGCATATTTGTTTTGTTTTAAAGTTAGTCTAACTGCACCCTTTTGCATACACAATATGTTATATTGTTTGGCTGCAATATACACAACTTACCAAAAAAAAAAAAAAAATGAACATGTATCATTTTGATTTTTACACAGGCACAAAAAAATTAGAAAATTTAGATGATTTCTAAAAAACCTTTGGTCTGAAGAGATGAATATTTAAATATATTCATGAAATAAATTATAACTGAAATGGATTTTTGAGGATTGTCTTTACTTATTATTATTATATTGCTCTGTTAACTACATTGAGCTATCTTGGGATTAACCCTAATAATTACCAATTGGTATTACATATATATATATATATATATATATATATATATATATATACCCATGTGAAATGAGAATAATATTTTTTGCATGTTTTTGATGATTTGGTTTGTTTTATGGCATATCATCCTCAATGGGTTATTTAATGCCAACAATTTTTAATACTGGTAATATTTTTCTTTTCAAAAATGTATTGCTGGTAATATTCTTTTCCCTAAAAAAAATCTATTTCTGGGAATATTTTTTTCAAAAATGTATGGCTGGTAATTTTTTGTTTTCAAAAATCTATTGCTGGTAATAATTTTTTTTTTTTTTTTTTTATTACAAAGTTATTTTGGAATTAAATCCTATTTTTGCACTTTCATAGTGTTTTGACCCCAGTTTCTGGGCTAACTATTTGCCCATAGCTGGGACCCTAACAGGTGCTACCATCCTGGGTCAGGGTGGACCTGGGAACACCAGCAATTAAGAGGTGGTTCCATGCTCCTCAAAACCTCCTGATCAGAGACCTTACTGTTGGGACATGTTTTTGATGAAATATCCTAAAATAAAGGGTGTGTGTGTGGTTATGGGCAAATGATATAAGCTTATAATACTTACCTCCCTCATCCTCACAAACAAAATTTGTCGCTGTTCATCAGATAACTCTGCCAAGAGTTCCTGATCAATGTACATATCACGAAGGATCTGCTGTAGCATTTTGAAACTTGATGCTGAAAAATGTACAAGAAATACAAGGTTATTCCTGATTTTTTTTTTCTTCTGCCATTTGCATGCAAGCTGGATGCATGCACACACACACACATACAAAATATATCTTTGCACATTTTGAGTCATTTAAGTCTTATGAAAATTCCACACACATCTGTGACAGTGAGTACATCTTCACTCTTTACCACTAAGAGTTTGTTTTTTGTTTTTTTAAAGCAAAAAGGCTACTTCTTTCTGTCATCAATGTCAATATTTGATCAGTTGCTCCAGGCCGTTTGCAGTTTTCCCTGCTTTCATTACCATCAATCAGTTGCCATGAACCACTTTCCTATTTATTACCAGAGTAAGAAATCCCAGATCAAAAAAATTGCTAGTCATTGGTGAAGAAAAAAAAAAGTCCAAGAAGAAAAGTTCATAAGTGCTGACTGAAATTCTAAGAAATTCTTCCCATTATTCCATAAATTGTTTTACTATTAACTTTAGATATATTACTTTGAATTGTAGTTGCTATTGAGATGATATGTAATATTAAGTGCCTGTTTCTATTAAATATCTTTTTTACCTTTTAAAATGATTAAAAAAAAAAAAAGAGAGAGACTGAATGAAAAGAGAGAGAGAAAGAGAGAGAGAAAGAGAAAGAAAGAGAGAAGAAAAGAAAGAAAGAAAGAGAGAAGAAAAGAAAGAAAGAAAGAGAGAAGAAAAGAAAGAAAGAAAGAGAGAAGAAAAGAAAGAAAGAAAGAGAGAAGAAAAGAAAGAAAGAAAGAGAGAAGAAAAGAAAGAAAGAAAGAGAAAGAAAAAAAAACTATTGGAAAATAAGAGAGAGAGAAAAAGAGAAAAGAAAGAAAAGAGAAAAAGAAAGAGAAAGAAAAAAAAAAAGAAAAAAGAAAGAGAAAAAGAGAAAGAAAGAAAGAAAGAAAAGAAAAGAGAAAGAGAAGAGAAAGAGAAAAAGAAAGAGAAAGAGAAAAAGAAAGAAAGAAAGAGAAAGAAAAAAGAAAAGAAAGAGAGAAAAGAAAAAGAAAAGAAAGAGAAAAAAGAAAGAGAAAAAAAGAAAAAGAAAGAGAAAGAAAAAAGAAAAGAAAGAGAGAGAAAGAGAAAGAGAGAAAGAAAGAGAAAGAAAGAGAAAGAGAGAAAGAAAGAGAGAGAAGAGAGAGAAAGAGAAAGAGAGAGAAAAAGAGAAAGAGAGAAAAGAGAAAAGAGAGAGAAAGAGAAAGAAAAGAGAGAGAGAAAGAAAAAGAAAGAGAAAAGAAAGAAAAGAAAGAGAGAGAGAGAGAAAGAGAGAGAAAGAGAGAAAGAAAGAGAAAGAAAGAGAGAGAGAAAGAAAAAAAAGAGAAAAGAAAGAAAGAAAGAAAAGAAAGAAAGAAAAAAGAGAGAAAGAAAGAAAAAGAAAGAGAAAAAAAGAAGAGAAAAGAAAAGAGAAAGAAAAAGAGAAAGAAAAGAGAGAGAGAAAAGAAAGAAAGAGAAAGAAAGAGAGAGAAAGAGAGAAAAGAAAAGAGAAAGAGAGAGAGAGAAAGAAAGAGTTAAAAGAAAAGAAAGAAAAGAAAAAGAAAGAGAAAAAAAAGAAAAAGAAAGAAAGAAAAAGAAAGAAAGAAAAAGAAAAAAAGAAAAAAGAGAAAGAAAAGAAAAGAAAAGAGAGAAAAAAAGAAAAAGAGAAAAGAAAGAGAAAAGAAAAAGAGAGAAAGAGAGAGAGAAAAAAGAAAGAGAGAGAGAAAGAGAAAGAAAGAGAGAGAAGAGAGAGAAAGAGAGAGAGAGAGAAAGAGAGAGAAAAAAGAGAGAAAGAAAGAGAGAGAAAGAGGAAAAAGAGAGAGAGAAAGAGAGAGAGAAAAGAGAAAGAAAGAGAAAGAAAGAGAGAGAGAAAGAGAAAGAGAAAGAGAGAGAGAAAGAAAGAGAAAAGAGAGAGAGAGAGAGAGAAAGAGGAGAGAAAGAGAGAGAAAAGAGAAAGAGAAAAAAAGAGAAAGAGAGAGAGAGAAAAAGAGGAAAGAGAGAGAGAGAGAGAGAAGAGAAAAAAGAGAGAGAGAGAAAAGAAAGAGAAAAAGAGAGAGAGAGAAAAAGAAGAGAAAAAAAGAGAAAGAAAGAGAGAAAGAGAAAAAAGAAAAAGAAAGAAAGAAAGAGAGAAAAGAGAGAAAGAAAAAGAGAGAAAAGAGAGAAAGAGAGAAAGAGAAAAGAAAGAAAGAAAAAAGAGAGAAAGAAAAAAGAGAAAAGAAAGAGAAAAAAGAAAGAGAGAAAGAAAAGAGAGAGAGAGAAAGAAAAAAGAGAGAAAGAAAGAGAGAAAGAAAGAGAGAGAAAGAAAGAAGAGAAAAGAAAGAGAGAGAAAGAAAGAAAAGAAAAAGAGAGAGAAAGAAAGAAAGAAAAAAGAAAAGAAAGAAAGAGAGAAAGAAAAGAGAAAAAGTGAAAGAGAGAGAGAGAAAAGAGAAAAAGAAAGAGAGAGAGAAAGAAAAGAGAAAAAGAAAAAGAGAGAGAAAGAAAAGAGAAAAAGAAAGAGAAAGAAAGAGTTAAAGAAAAAGAAAAGAGAAAGAGAGAGAAAGAAAGAAAAGAAAAAGAGAAAAGAGAAAAGAAAGAGAGAGAAAGAAAAGAGAAAAGAGAAAAGAAAAAGAGAGAGAAAAGAAAGAGAAAAAAAAGAAAGAGAGAGAAAAAGAGAAAAGAGAAGAGAAAGAAAGAGAGAGAGAGAGAAAAGAAAGAAAGAGAGAAAAGAAAGAAAAGAGAGAGAGAAAAAAAAGAGAAAAGAGAAAGAAAAAGAGAGAGAGAAAAAGAAAGAGAAAGAAAGAGAGAGAGAGAGAGAAAAGAAAGAGAGAGAGAAAAAAGAGAAAAGAGAGAGAGAGAAAAAGAGAGAAAGAGAGAGAGAGAGAGAGAGAGAGAGAAAAGAGAGAAAGAAAGAGAGAGAGAGAAAGAGAGAGAAAGAAAGAGAGAGAAAGAAAAGAGAGAGAGAGAAAAAGAGAGAGAGAGAGAAAGAGAGAGAGAGAAAGAAAGAAAGAAAGAAAGAGAAAGAGAAAGAAATCCAACTTATCCTTTTTTCAATTCTTCAAAAGCAGATTTATTTTGAAAAGTCAGTTAAAGAATTCATTCACAAACAAAATAGTAGCTGGTGATAAGATTTCAACCAAAAAGAAATGTGCCTATAAGGTATAGGAAGCATAGCTAGCAAAATCAGCCTTGAAAGCCCTTAATACTACAGTGCATTTACTGAGGACTCAACATTTGCAGCCTTAAGTCAGACTAAACTGTGCAAATACTACCTATAAAAATGTACATGCATACAAATTCTTTTCAGAAAGGATAAAGACACTATACTCTGATCTCAAGCAAAAGTAACATCCATACATAAAAAATCTTGTCTTTTTTGTGGGTACTATGCTAATGTACATTATATACTTATATGGATACACATGCAGCTGTGGATCAAGTGCATTGACAAAAAAAGAAAAAATATGGGTAAAATGTTTAAAACAAAAATTGTTTTTGGTAAAATAAATGCTTTCCTCAAAGACTTTGGCCAATTTACCCACAATTTTAACCAGAGTATGTAACAACTTATTAATAAATTGGAAATATACAAGAAAAAGGTACATCTTAGGAGATGAATTTATTAAAACTTATTTTATTTAGAAATTATATTATTCTTATGTACTAATGTTTACCCAATACAAGGCCAAAGAGTCACTCAAGGTAGAGGGCTACTGTGTGGTGTTGTATGATCATAGGAAAAAGCAAAAAGTGAAGTCTATAGGGCTATGCAGGAAAGATAATAGTTAACCCTAGACTTGAAGAGATCAAGATTGTAGTGATTGGGAAAACATCCTGTCGGGAGTCTGTTCCACAAAGCGACAATTCTTGGAAGAAGCTATCCGAGCGGAAATTCTTACTATAGAAATAAAAAGGGAATAAGATGATTCACATTTGTGTATGTGGCAGGGTGGGTCCCATTTGTAAAGGTCAGAGGTGGTGGGATTTAGGAATGTAGTTCATCAGAACATATACTATGGAAATGGCAACAGAGCAACAAGAGGTAACATTCCGTCTCTGGGGAAGGGATTTGTAGGTTGAAAAATAATTCATCACCAACAAAGCCACATAGACACTTTAGAAGTCCATCAAGACAGGTAAGTAGTTAGTAGCTTCAGCCCAGATATATCAGCAATGATTGGTTTTATTTTATTTAGTCTGATCTGGCTCTTGTATAGAATAATTTGATCCAAATAGAATCTAGCAGGGAAATCCATATTTTTTGTTTTCTCTCTCTTTCTCCTTTTATTGGTCCTCAGGGCTTGAACATACTTTGTTTTATTCTCAAGTATTAAAAAGCTGATCCAAGTTTTGAAGGCTCAACTAGATTATATTTAGAGAATCAAAACGTTTTTTCAGTTTGATTCAGGACCTGCTATACCAGTGGTTCTCAACCTATTTTGCCTAATGCATCTTTTTTTACCATGTCAGAACGTCATCCCCCGCCTCCTTTCCAACATTGTCCAACTCAAAAAGGTGCATTCCAAATCCATTTAAAGTACATAGATTATTTTGATGGAGGTATTTTTACAAATTTAATAGCAATAGAAAATGTCGAATAGATTTTTAAGCTTGAATACATGTGCAGTAATTTGTTTTCATTTATAACTAATAATTGAATAAATAAAGTGAAGCAGACTTCAATAAACAGAAAGTTCAATAGAACACCAGGGTATTGGAATTCAATAAACAAAATTTTGTAAATAAATAAAAAAAAGGATAAAAAAAAAATTAGGATTCCCCCCCCCCGGTTGAAAAGATGCTCAAGACAAGGACATATGCAAAATGCTGCTGTGATGAGCAAACCATTTTTCTTAGGCTTACACCTCCTCTTCTGGCTGCAATGACTAATCGTTGGGTCATGTTCATCAAATGGAGGATTGCCCCATATCAAAGTATGATATGTATGGTGAGTGGGCCACAAAACAACACTCGGTAAGTTTTGCTTTACATTGCAGAAAAATGATCAAAATAACCGAGAGCAACTTGTT